GCATATCAAAACGACCCGACAGCCGTTTCACCATGATTATTCTAATGTCCACGCCAACCACAAATGCCAGTGATAAACTGACGAGTTTCATGAGCGCTGCAGTCTGAACATGATCACACACGCGACCGAGACACACCGGTCAATCACTAGTCACTGGAGTGTAACCGTTTGAAACAAAGAGGGATTCTAAAACCCAAGCTCACTGCCACTGAGGAGATACTGACTCCCCGTCAAACCCCACGGTACGGACCATGCTCCTGCGAGTTTCCCAGACTGTGACTCTCCTTTTTTTCAAAATCATTTTACTGGGGACTCTTACCACAATCCATCCTTCCACCCATTGTGTCAAGCACATTTATACATAGGTTGCCATCTTCATTTTCAAAACATTGTTCTTTCTACTTGAGCCCTTGGTATCAGCTCCTGATTTTTCCCCTTCCCTCCCTCATGAACCCTTGATTACTTATATATTTTTTTCATGTCTTACACTGACTGCTGTCTCCCTTCACTCACTGTTCTGTCGCCTGTCCCCCTGGAAGGGGGTTACATGTAGATAATTGTGATCGGTTTCCCCTTTCTCCCCCCACCTTTCCCTTACCCTCCTGGTAAGGGTTCTGAGGGGTTTACCTGAACTGAATTCCCTGTGTTTCCAGCCCGTATCTACACCCGTGTACATGCTCTGGTCTAGCCGGATTTGTAAGGTAGACCAGACTATAACTCTTCATGGGAGTAGAAAACCTAATGTTTCTCCCTCTGTGTAGCTGTTGGTTTCAAACGGGCCTGATGTGTACCCACTATACCACCAGGATTCCTAAAGGGTGAGAAGACAGCAAATACAACCTTTATGAGAGCAACGATGCTGGATGGTGTAAGGCTGAATTCCACAAGACCAAGGATCATTAACTACGAGGGGTACATACCCTGCCCTCAAAAAATGGAATTGCACTGGGCTGAGCAGAGCTTTCAAAGATGCATTTTTCCCGCTAGGTTAAGGTGACCAGATTTTAACATTGGTAAAGCGGGACACCATTGATAAAACTCATACCCTGGCGAAATAGCCACATGGCAGCTGAAACCCGTATACCCTAGCTTGTCGTGCATTGTTTCCAAAAATCGGGACTTTTTAAAAACGCCATGGGATGTGGGAAAATTTGTTAAAAATCGGGACTGTCCCGCCAAAAGTGGGACATCTGGTCACTTTACTACGCTAGGTGAGCATCGAACAACTCACTCTGAGTTAGTGCACCCAGTGGAGTCACCTGGGAAGGTTCTCTGGGGACACAGAGAATTTTTTTCATAAAAGCAGTTTGGCTCAAGGCTCATTTTTTATGATGGACAATTTAAGAAAACAATTTTTGTTTCATGCTCAGGAAAAATGCCACAGAAACAGTTGTGATGTTGCACACAGCTTACCAGGACAACGCTATGGGAAGAACTGAAGTGTACGAGAGGCTTTCTCACTTCAAATAAGGTAAGATGTCGACTGATGACAAATCTCCTCTGGACATCAGTCAATTTCCTGAAACGGACGAAAATGTGACCCGTAGTGCGTTTGGAGTTCCTTCCACCAGTCAGACTGTTCTATTTGGAGGTTCTGAAAAGATTGTGTACAC